ACAGACACAGAGTCTGGGGTGTGCAGGGGACTCTGGAGTGAGTTATTAGCACACAATCACAGAGTCTGCTGAGCTGGAAGGGACCCACAAGGATCATTATGTCCAATTCCTGCCCCTGCACAGACACCCCAATAATCCCACCCTCCTTTCCTCCTGAAAAGGATTCACACTTTTAATTTTGCACTTTGCTATGGAAATGGAAACCCTTGGACAGATCCAAGCAAGGGAGATTGAGAGGGGGTTAGAGCTTCCAGGTGAGTCGGTAGCCAGAAATCACAGTACACTGAACATTCCTTGCTTTAGGAAAAGTTCAGGTSCAGCCAAGGAAGCTTCCAAAGCATTGCACTGTTTGACTTGCTGGAAAAATTTTACATRGGTAAGCTCAGAACTTTCACTTTCCCCCAAATACAATTAAACCTTTCATGAAGAACTGTTGGGAGGTTTTGTTTGTTTTTAATAAAGAGAATGAGGTGAACATTTCCACAGCTGAGTGCTTCATGGTTCGAGCACTTTTCTTAGTTTAGTCCTTCTGAATGAACATTATTTCTTTGAGTTAATTTCTAAATGAACCAAGAAATTACAAATAAATCTCCTATCTGAACACAGTTTAGATAAATCTCATACTCAAATGTTGTTATCTAAAAGCTCATATCAAACTCATAAAGATAATTGCCTATTGTGACTAGGATATTGCACCCAGCTTGATCTAATGGATTTGTTATCTTGATTTTAGACATGCAAASTAAGTTCATTCGTGTCAGATATTCATATATAGCAAGGCATTCAAAATCCAGAAGGAAAACCAAAAGAGCAGAGTTTAAAAAACGAGTAGCTTTCAAATGACACTCTACTGTTTCAATTGGGTGTTTTTTCCAGAGGTGCTTGCMGTATGGTTTGTTAAGTTTGGGATTTTTATTTTGTTGCTGCTGAAATGGTAATTAAAATAAGTATAGGAAGATTCAGCTGCTGTGTTACATAGTTAAAGGTTGAATTTAATTATTGCAATGCAAAGAAGCATTAATTGTGATTGTCTTCAGTCTGTCTTGTCTTACCCTGCTATTACTATATCTATGTGGATACACAATGGGGAGGATTTACACCAGAATTTTACTATTGATTCCCAAATCTTGGGCTTTTAGCCTGTGAAAGTAGGAACAAAAAATAATTTTAATTTCGAAACCTTGTTTAACTACTTTTGCAGCAGGATTACTGCTCACAGATCCATAGCTCCAAAGATCAGGCTGCTTCTCCACAGTTCCAGATTTCATTTTAACAAAGGAATGTTTTTTCTCTTGGGAGTCTTTTAGGTAGCTCCAGTCCAAGGCAGGCAATTAATGCCTGTGTTCAGTGGAAGCTGAGAGGTTGATAGGCTCCGTAGCATAATGCCAGGCTGTTTCTAACCACTGATTCTAATGTTAATTTCTCGATTTCAGACTGGAAAATTATATGTGTGTGTGCATGTGTGAATAATAATTTTTAAAAACCCYGAAACCTCAACGATGCAGAACACTTCATTTTTTGTTGTCTTTGAATATTGCTGTTATCTGTGTATTTCCTGCAGAGGAAGAATGTATGGTTATTAGTGTAATTGGGCAATAGCTCAAGGAGGGAATGGAACTCAGATTTCCCCCATTAATATTTCAGTCAAGACTCAGTTGACAATAATAATGTATTTTCCATGATTTATACTGCTGGAGTGTCACATGCCAGGAGACTGGATAGACCCCATGGGTTAAAGGTGGGRAAATGGGCCTTTCTCCAGCTGCAGAGTTGTGCTCTGATGTTTTGTTGCTCCTCCTGCTCTCAGTTTGTGACTGTTCCTTCTGTCGGGGTGATGTTCAGCAAGACCTTCTGGGTACAGCAAAGGACCATAATTTTCCCTAACCAAGAACTCCCCTAATGCCAATCTCCTTTTTTTCTCTGCTCTTTTTGTTGTAATACAAGTCCCAAATGTTTGCTCTTGCTCAACTTGAACCTTAAAGAAATTCATTGAAAAGGCAGATGCACCCAGGTRGTTGTGGGCACCCTGTTCAGTTCCACACTGTATGACATTATAGTGGATTATTTTACAATTAAAGCCTGAAAAGCAGAATGCATGTGGAAGAGGGGTTTCATTACCCTGCTGCAGAGCTCTTGGTGCTGAAAGCTCAGTGCTAACTTGAATTCTGATCCACAGAGTATCTATTACTATTTGKTTTTTTCCTGAGCTATTACAGCTAAGTAGTAGCTTCCAGGTTTTTTTTTTTTCTGGCATCTCTATCTGCAAAACTCCGATTTCCCAGTGTTGGTAAAGAAAATACGAGCTGTGCATTGAATAAAAATAAAGTGGCACTTTGGAAATTAAGTTTTGATAGTATTGAGAAACACTTTGCAGAACCATTGTCTTTGTCTCACTTTTATTATCATTATTATTACTTTTATTAAAATCCTTTTCAGAGGGTTTATACTGAATTGACTAACGGAGGGAAAGCTGAAAGTTAACATCCATTTTGTGYGGCATCCATGTGGTTTTYTTTTTTTTCYACAGGTTTGTGACAGCAYGCTTTTTCTGTGTTTGKGGAAAGGTTACTGTGTGTGYATTGGTATTYGAGAGTGTCTGAGGGTAAATACTACACCCTGCTGAGCAGCAGCAGTTATTTTACAAGGCCTACCTTTTACATGCAAAACATGCACYGACACTGGGTTTGTTACCATGAGCTGGGTGCAATCGATATTGCTGCTGGGCCACAAGGTACATCTTATGTCCTTGACATTTKTCTTGCTAGACTGCTTATGTGTGTTTGGTTATCTTTGTCTCCTATCCTGTTACCTTTATCAAATTAATTTGCCTGTCAGGGAATTTTGTGTAATCGYGTTTCTATTCAGGCAGCGAATTTATAATTGGATAGTAATTATTTAAGTTTTCCTTTTATCAGCATTTATTGGTTCRTGTTTTATTACTTAGAAATCATAGAATCGCAGAAGCTGCTGAGCTGGAAGGGACCCACTGGGATCATCAATCCAGCTCCTGCCCTGCACAGACACCCCAACAACCCCACCTTGTACCTGACAGTGTTGTCCAAACACTCCTGGAGTTTTGGCAGCCTTGGGGCTGTTACTGGCTCTGTTGCTGATATCTAACTTATTAATACACAGGGGTTTGGAGTGGAGTTTTAGCACTCTTTCTAACGCTGTTGAAAATTGTGGAGGACTCAGTTGGCTCGCCTCTGGCAACCTTTTTATGCTTAAAGTGGATGGTGTGTGTGCTCTTTAAATATAGAGCTTTTAATAGTCCACAGCCTTTTTCTATTGTTGCTTTGCAATATTCCTATGGGAATAATACCAATTTCCCAGTGTGATCACAATAGCATATGTGGCCTTGGAGCAGAAACTACTTCAACCCAGAAAGGTAAATGAAAAATACGAGATACAAAATGGCACTTGCCAAAGCTGCCTGCTTCCTTTTTTTGGGTTACATTTTTTAAAACAAAAGGAATTCTGTGCAGCATTAAATGCTGAGCTTTATCAGAGATTTGTATTCTAATGCCATATGAGTAAGACTGGAAAGAKTCTCCTTGGTCCGCCAAAGATCACATGCAGGAGAAGGTCATTTATTTCCAGGCTTTTCGAGCAGCTTCTTACAGTAATGGGAATTTTTTTATCCTCACTGCTTGGAGTGGAGTAAGTTTTTATATCTCACTGTTTGAGAACTGTCTCCTAATTTTCCACTGGAATTTATCTGCAGATAATGAATCCCCATATGTTCCTGCGTCAACACTGCTCTTCAGCCTCAATAGCTCCTTTCCCTCTTTGCTCTTAACCCCTGAGRTATTTACAACAACAATGTAATCCCCTTCAACTGCTGCTTTGTTGGGCTGAGTTCTCCTAAGTGGTTCAGATATAATATGAACTGCAGAGCATTTTCGAGGAGTGTCCCTCCAGAATTACTTTGTGGTCAAACCTCATTAACTACTTTCTGAAGGGGCTTGTTGCAAACAGTGAGAATATGCTGCTAAACATRCTGATGATAAAATGCAGGAGGTTTTGTCAGTGAAAATGAGAATTCAAATTTCTTATGTCAGAGTAGGAGTGTTGGTTTTTTTTTGGTTTTTTTTTTTTTTAAATTGGGAAAATAAAAATAGGATTAAGCTGATGATATAAACTCTAAAAGCATGACAGAGGTATGATTAACCTATGTTCCCSCTGCTTCTGAGAGACTGATTTAAGACCAGGATGAGTAGTGGAACTTCAGATCTTCTGTTTGGGTTTTTTCATCTCTCCATAAAAATGCAACAAGCTGTCTTTCAACTGCAGTGTTAATAAAATGCTTTCTTAGAGGGAAAAATTGTACTTCAGCATATGATTACACTGCTCAGAGCTGGCCTTCACTTTTAGTAGGAAGTATTTTTTAATCCATTAAGCTAGTGGTTTCTATGAAAACATAGAAGGGCATCTCTTTTCAATATCCCTGTCTGGACATCCTGAAGATTTCAGGTTTTTTAGCAGAATATACTGTGGTTGGATGGCTCCTGTATTGGGAGAATAAACAGTTATCAGTGATGACACCTGACATATGTTACTGCACTATGTAGGTCACTTATGGCCTAATGTGGGAGATGGCAAAAGATAATGAATTTTGATCTCATGCCTGTGATTCCTTAAGGAAGCCTTTAATGGTGTATGTGGAATATCARGAGACACGTACTGACTCACTGCCTGAGAGTGGTGTTTTGGAAGGAGCGATTGCACCTTCCAATCCCAGCCCTGCAGCCAGGGAGATGGCTTTGCTGGGTGATATTTGAATGCACCTTTTCTGCTGCCTATTATGTGAGATAAAGAGATACATCCTTAGTAATGATGAGAAATGTGTTCGTCTTCTAGCAACCAGGAGCTGGTTTTTAGCACAGTTTCTTGATTTGCACACAGCCATAAAATCAAGGTCTTTCTGTTTACACCAAGGCTATAGAATAATTTATATTTCTGTAACTTATTTACATGCTCTCTTTTTGTTTCATTCCCAGGGTTTCCGTGTTCACATATTCCAAGGTCACGTGCATTCCTGTAATCACGCTACATTCAACAAGAAGGTAAATTCTGCATGCAAATTTCCTTTTTTTTTTCTCTTTAACCATCATGTTCCTTGCTCTGGCCCATACTGTGTTGCTTCTTGGTGACACAGAGACTTTGGGGCTGGATTCAGAATCAGTGGTGGCTCAGAGTGGCTTCCACCTGCCAGACCAGAGCCCAAGTGCCTGTTACAATAGACCTGTCCCCTCCTTGCTTCTCCCACCTTCCTTCTTTGATCAGTGCATGATATCTAAGCCATTCTCCTCTGTCAGGATCATTTAGTTGCTTTATTTTAAGGAAATTTGCTGTTATGTTTTTTCCCTGGTTAATTTATAGTTGTTGTCTAAAAGGAGCCATTTTGACTGGGATTGGTGACAGACTGCTGTCTGAATGACTGATAGCTTTGGAAGGGGAGGAATTTCTTCTGAATGGCTCTTAAAGGCTATATGAAATACTCTGAAATGAGCCAAACATTTGTGATATATGATTCCTGCAGCTCTCCTGGCCACACTGCTCTTCAAAACTGGTGTGGAAGTGCTGAGGCATGTGCTGGTTTCTGCTGCCACTAGCTGTCTTTTCTCTCAGAGACCATCTTTCCTGAAAAATAACTTCGTGGTGTTCCTGCTCCCCGTCCTCCCACTGACACTTTCATTGCAGCAGAGCAAGGTACTAATTTTTCCTGCAGGAGATCCTGAATATTCTTCTCTTGCTCAGTATGAGCTGCTGCTTTGCCAACTGCTCTGCCAGCCCTATGTGTTTGTAGGGTAAACCCCAAGGGCTGGCACAGCAGAAGGTGTGGGATAAGCTGATGTCAGGGAGGGGAATAGGAATTCCCAAGGCATCTTAATTCTTTCTTGGCCATGTGCATCTATCTGTATGTGACAGGCACAACCTGCCTCTCAGTGCTCTGAGAYACTGTGGTGGGGAACAAAGAATATTTAACAGCAGCAGGAGTGGTGAGAGAAATACTGCAGAGATACCACAGCACTGCCTTTAATGTGGGTATTAATTTAATAAGGGCTTCATGGGATCTGTAATGATTACCAGGTAGCTGGAAGACTATGTGCTGATAACCTTCCAGATACGCATGTTGTTTTGGTGAGGAATATTATAGCTGGCATTAACTCTAGACTAAAATCATTGGTTGACATTCTCAGTGATTGAATTAGTAAAAATGGAAACATTTGGTGTAGTATTGATCAAAGTGAGTGAGGAATATAACTTCAGAAGCTGTAGAAGTTAACTCTGCTACTGAAAAATTAAGTAGCGACCCTGAGTTGTACAAGCGACAGTTGTCCCACTGGCTGACTAGCAAACCAAGGGCTGTATTTCAGCCAAATATAGCACCTGAGAACTATTTTCTTACCCTCTAGTGCATGCTCACAAAAAAAAAAAAAATTAAAATATTCCACCCTAAGGAAGCTAAATAGGGTGTTTTGAGGGTCAATRTTTTTATTAAATAACACACATTTTACAAGGAAAAAAATGTTTTTAAAGAAACAGTCATATTTTCAACAACACTTCCATGGAGAAGATTTTGGATACTGATAATGGACTGTTTGGACAAAGTGCAACATTACTTCCAGAGTGCCCAACCTAATGGTTATACCTAGCCCAGGAAGTCTGCAGTGACAAAGCTGAAGGCTGGTTGCTGAAAAAAAAACCAAACCTATTTATATTTTTGTTTTAAGTTATATCTTTCTATATCCTAATGTCAGAGGTCTGCAGATCCCATGCTTTGCCCGAAGTCTTGCCTATAGAGTCAGACTCTGTGGGTGTAGAACTGTAATGGTGAGAGATCCCAACAGATTCACTCCTTTTTCTGCTTGAATGTAGGTCAGTTTAAATGGGCTCCTAGGTCACTTCAGTGGTAATTGTGTCCTGGTCTTCTTGGTGGATAAAAGGAGTTCACAAAGAATACGAAATTCTAATTACACRAGAACAAGGAACAAATTTTCTAGTTAGACCAGACAACCATTCAGGCATATAACCAACCACACTATATTAAGGGATAGTTTAGAGGAAGAGTATTGTGTGAAGAAGAAGCTAAAAAAGAATAATGCATTTATAAAAATTGAATAAATCCTCATTAAGCTCTGTGAAACTGATTAAATCTGAGTTATTTACTACACCATGTTTCTGAAACTGTAGTTAATAGTTTTTTTGTTAAATGGGCAAGTTTTGCAACCCATTGAACTCTTATTAGTGCAGAGATTCCCTAATTAGCTTGTTCTCTATGGAACAGAACTGCCAGCTTGGCACCTGGAATGTGCCCATTTGTTGGGTCCTGCCTTGCGGGGACACAGGAGTTACAGTGCCCTGGAGAAGCTTCTGCGTTTGTGGTCATGTCAGGACTTCACAGATAACACTTCCAGCAGCATTTAAATCCTGCAGTTTCCCAAGTTGTTTCTCTGTCTGTGGAATGTTTGAGAAAAATTGTACAAAACCCACGTAGCTGGTTTTGAATTGAGGACATGGGAAAATGAATCTTTGCTCCTAAAAGTTACTGTTGCTGTCCCTTTTAGTCCCRTGTGTCGATAACACARTAATTTTGTAGAGCAAAATGTTTCAAATGTTTATTTTGCACAGAGGTATGGCCTAAACAGCATTTCAGGTAAGCTCTGTACATCCTTTGCAATGGTAAATCACCTATGCTAATGAAGTATAAAGACTATAGATGCTTGGCTGAGTCATGAATTTAAACAACAATAAAACATTAATTTAAACATGTTTAAACATGAACTTAAACAAGTACAAGGTTTGCTCCCTTATGTGTGTGCAAATACATGTTTGTGTCCAAATGAAAGTATGCCAAGTGTCTGCCATGCTGTGTTGGTGTCATATCTGCAGGTTTAGGAATCTTTGCCACRTTTCCCAAAAACAAAACAAGTATTTTTAGAATTACTGGTTTTATTAGGAAAACCTAAAAGACTATAAAAAATAGTCCTGAGAACAACTGTCCAATTTTACCTCCCCAAGCCAAAATGCAAATAACATCTAGGTCATTCTTCCATTGATTTACTGAAGGGCAAATAATGTCAGACAGTTTTTAAACAAAAACAAAATTTCAATTTTGTTTACCTCCTCAGCAGTCCAGTTGGATGTCAGCTACCATTTAGCTGGGCCAATAATATTGATATTTGATGTCAGTTCTTATTCATTACTGCACCCAAATGATGCAAAAGTCAGATCTCTCAGATGTTTCTATGGATAGCCAGATAAAGCCAGGATGTCTGACTGCATCTAACAGACACAAACAAGAAAAGAACAGAATACAAAATCAAAAACCTATCTGCTCTTATTGTTATTTATGTATTCAAAGTGTTCACCTCTTTGCATAAACTCAAAGCCAGTTGCTTACAAAGGTTACCCWGTAATATCAAATGTGTTCAATTATACATGCAAAAGGGCTAATAGGTTCTTCCTCTAGTTTATTTCTGTCTCTGTGCATGAGAAATATAATTACAGAACTGAATTACATTTTAAATACAGATTTTATTATCATTAGTTAACCATTTTCAGGCCATCAAACATTGTTAGAAGTAAAAAAAAAATCTATTTAATCTCTCTGTCAAAGCAAGGAACAAAATCTGTGTCAAAATTTCTCCGTTTCATTTGTTGGCAAACAGCTCTTTCTCATAAKAGGGAAACTTTCAGAAAAGTGTGCTAGAATTCACTTTTACATCCATTCTCTAACACAGTCATGTTATTCCCTGTTTTTGGAAGTTTCCTGGAATGCTCCCTTCCCTTGGCCGTCCTCCTGTGTTACTCACAGACCCTGCAGTTACCACTGGGCCTGTTTTATGTGCAGACCAGATAAGACATTCTGAAGTCACTCGAGTAGAATTAGGTAGATCCATCTTTATTTTGATCAGTTTAAGTATTTTTGCTCTGTAGCTTTCATCCTCTTAATGTAGAGGTATGGATAAATATGTCTAGCAGATGCCCTAGAAGTTAAAATGTTCATCCAGACCTTACTGTGAGGAAGTTCCAATGTGTAGGGACTTACTTAACTGTTGAGAAGGCAAGGAAATTCAGGATAYATTGCTTTGGAAGGGGGTGGCTCTCCCAAGCTGCTGGATCCCTGTGTCCTTGAGAAAAGAGACAGGCTCGCAGCAAAGGCCCTTCAGCAGGACTGAAAAAAACCAAATCCGAGCCTGATTTTGAAATGTCACACCTTGTTTGTGTCATTCAGTTTCCCATCACCATTTCAGGTTTCTCATCAGAGATCATTTGCAAAGAAAAACTTAGTAATAGGTGTCACACACCTCAATAAGCCAAGGGCAGAGAAGAACCACRTGCAGCAGATGATGGTGACTGAGAAACCTTTGGTGTCAGTAAATGCACCAGCTGCTGCTGGCGTTTGCCTCTGCACTCCTAAATCAGGCAAAATGCTGTTCCTTCACTCTATGCTTGTTTTGTCTTTCTGGGTTATAATTTCTTCTGGGGGAAAAAAATAATTACAAAATCTCTAAAGTCTTGCAGTTTCCTTAATCAAGGCACAAGTTGCCTTCAAAAACTTGGCATTAACTGTTTTCTTTTTTTATTCTYTCTAACATATATAAATACATTATATATAAATAAACATAAATCTCTTTGAAGCTTTTAAACCCAATCCTGTCAAGTTTACTAATTCTAAAAATAATCACAGCTCAAGAAAATCCACCTTCTTTTGTTTCAAGCCTTGAACCCTTTGCATTCTGAGATGTGAGATGAGCTCATTCTGCCACAGGATCTCTCTCCTCCAGCCTCATGGTTTATATCCCTCCTTTGTTTGGACAACACTGTCAGGAACAGGGTGGGATTTGGGGCAGTCCTGTGCAGGCCAGGAGTTGGACTTTGATGAGCCTTGTGGKCCCTTCCAACCCAGAATCTTGCATGATTCTATGATTTACCAGTGTTGATATTTTAGTTCTCTTTTTAGAATCCCTTCTGGTGCTCTTTGTTGCCGCCATGCAGGGACTCGCAGTAAACCTCGAAGTATATTGTAAAAGTCACCCAAACAAACATGGGGAAGCTC